ATAATATCAAATCAACCATTCACGTATGAGTGAATTAATTTAATATGGTTTATTCAAGATTGAATGTGTTTCTTGAAGAAATTAAATCTAATCTTAAATCCATGGTTGCATTTCTTTATCATTCATTGTTTCATATGAAGAATCCATAGCGCATGATGAAGATTCGAGTTGATAAAGTGTTGTGCTTGTGATGAATGAACTGAGTGTTGATGAGAAGAAAGAAGGTTGCATTGTGGTATCAAATTGCTGCTTAGACAGATCTAGGTAATTGAATTTGGCTGAGAATTCCTCGATTGGATGTTTAATTTCTCTTAGTGGATTGCCTGGTTAGATAAGGAACTATGATTTTTATCCACACGCAGTATTGGATGTATGCCCTAAAAATCAATCATAGAGATGATAAAGTTTTAGGACGATATTAGTCCATAAACTAATCATTTGAGCAAGACCACTAATTATAGGATTACCAAATAATCCTAAATATTAGGTCACGGATAACAAATTTATAAACATAAGAAGGAGGTATCCTAAAGGGTTAGGAGAAATCTAAATAAGTTAGATTGTAGAGACCTTGTCCTTTACGTGATTATTCAAAAATTGTTCCCGATTTGTGAGATATATGGAGTGGATATATAAAAATACACAATATATATCCACTCATACCAATCCATCAATGTAGGAACACTAAGACAACTGTGTATGTGCATAAAAAAGATTGAGTACGATGAATGCGATCAAGTTCTTGTATAGAGTTTTACTTACATGTGAAGAGTTAACATTAGTTGCACTAATGAAAGTAATCCTCACACTTGAGATATCACTGTTGTCTGATGAGTAGGTTGGTGACTTTGTGATTCTGCACCATATTCAAAAAGGATTGTTCCATTTATCATCCAGATCACTGTGTTACTTACGAGTAGGTTGGCGGACATGTTAATTTGGCATTTTGATTCGAAATGCTATTTTATGTTGATAGTGCTTACAAAGTGGTGAACGGGTTGAATTTTGTTGGTGCTTCTTCCATTTTGTTAGGCTCTATCCCTAGTATATGGCGAGCAACCTAACCTGGTGTGTGAATGATCTTGGCAAGGTCAAAGTCTGTTTGTAGAAAGTTTGCTCGGATATTCTTCCTACCCAATCGAGCAAATTTAGCGAAGAAAGACGTGGTCGTGGATGATTGTTGTATTTCTGTGACTCCTCTCCCGAGACATGCCGCATGTGCTCAAGGAATGTCCATTTACTAAACACGTCTTTTTCATCTTCCCTTCAAATTAACCCTTATAATTTCCTCATATTTTCCATACAAGATTTGTTGCTCCAGGTTGCTAGTGATGATTGGCCTTATGGATGCTTTGATGATGATTGTCCACTTCATCTAGACTGCTAAAAACTCCTTGTGGGAGGGCAAATATGACAACCTAGCTGATCTTCGTAAAGCTGCCAGCCTTCGTCTGCAATTTTTTTTTTTTTTTTCAATTCCAACCTACCGACAAAACCTAGCATTCATCCTCCCCTACTATCTGGACTCCGCCTAAAAGTGAATGTGGAAGCGAGTGGTAAATAGGGCTTTCCTATTCAACCATTGCATCCCATCTTTAAACCCTTTTCATCCCCTTCGGTGTAGCTTAAAGTAGTAATATCACTTCGTCTCCCTTGATTCTTAATGGCGAGGATGTCAATGTTGGTTTTGCTCATTTGCAACTGGCTGATTGGCCAAGTTGGCTTTGTTCTCTGATCATGAGTTTTTGATTTGAAAAATTCTCATATATTATCCATGATTTTCCCCTTGCTGATTGTAATGCTTTATTTCTCAATTAAATTTGCTATCGTTTGCCCTCAGAAAATTTTATACCATAACATGGTGAGACTCATTTACGCGTAGATGTAGAAGTCACAGTTATACCGTTCAAATCTTCTGCATTCATTTTGTGTGTGATCTCTCTGTTGCATCTATCATTAATTGACACATGTTAATAAGCTTAACTTTTTTTTTTTTAAACTTAATACATGTCAATCAATAATAAAAACCACATAAATACCGTATAAAAATAAATACAGAAGATTTAATCTTGAAAAAAAACCAGTCATATAAAGTTTCGACTCGTCCCTTATCAATAGTTTGTATTCCCAAAAACAACCACCTTTTGAACATAAGTCAACATTTTTTTTGTTAAAATGGACATTCGATTTTTAATTCTTGTTGTTGGTTAGGCCCAATTGGCCTGATAAATGGCCAACCCCAATTAAATTCTAACTTGCCCAATACGACTTCAGAGACAAAGTTCATGCGATTCCCGTTCAAAACGCAACAAGTGGAGCCAAAGTTTGCGACCAAAAAGAAAGGGAGCAATGGTGCCCAACTGCTTTGACGTAGAAACGTGAAAGCACACCACGTGACTATACAACTCACATAACAGAGATCACGGCTTCCTTTTAAAATCTCAGAAAAGAAAATCTCAAGAAAATTAAAAGGAAGTCAAGCTTTTATTCATTTGTGTTTTGATCTAAAAAAATCGTTTGCACAAGAATAAATTACATGATACGAATATACTGTTAAGTAACGCCTCTTATCAATGAAAATGACATAATACATAAACTACACATCCTTTTTATTTCCTTAGCATAAGGCGTCGTTGTGATAATAAACTCGTGTCATGTAATCTTTCTCCATTTATAATGTTGAGGAGTGTTAGAAATCTACGTACTTACCTTTTCATTTCAACCTTCTCAGTTTTACTCTTGTCACGTTTCTTTCACTAGCATGCAAAATTAATTTGAGTGCTAGTGAAGTACATTTGACAAGAAGAGAAATGAGAAGGTTGAAATGAAAAGGTAAGCGAGATGTTTGTTGGCATTACTCTTCTCTATAAATGTTAGCATGCTAGAGAGACCATCTTTTGATGTGGCGGCTGATAATTATACTTCTTCCTAAAATCATTAAAAAATGAGTCTAATCATCAACTGTCATATCAAATTTATTAAATAGTCTTAGAAATGAGAATATTCTTGCTCAGCACCCTTTAGTAACGGTGATGCTCACATTCTATTTATTTCTATTGAATGAGTTTAAATTTCGAAACATGTGTAATGATATACACAAATCTCAAATTTTAAAATTATTCAGTGATAATAAGTAGGATGAGCATTATTACCATTTGAGAATAGTAAACAAAAATGCTGCCTAAAAAATAATCTTTCATTTTTCATACTACATTTATACCATCTTTCTAATATATTTTGGTTGACCATATCTATATTAGAAAGATAGCACAATTATAGTATGAAAAATATATGTGCATAAAAAGGCCACGGGTAACATATGGGTGTTTATCAATCATTGTAAAGCATATTATGACGTGGGGCCCAGTATGTCAACATAGAAATCCACCGACGATTGGCTTCTATAACAATAGAGAATTTTTAGTGTGACCGTCACACGAGGCGGTACATTACGTATTTCTATATAAATTATGAGATATGTATGTTAAAAGATTAATAACTTAAAAATTAAAAATTTTCATTACTTACATAAAAAAAACATGATATACCATTTATATTTCCGTAATAACTAAAATTTTTTCTGCGTTCTTGGTTTCGCAACCGTCCTGCGGGAAGTCCAAGTGCTTTTGTTGTTTTGTCGAAATTGGGGTTGTACGATTTGACGCCCTCAGTTGGAATAGTGGCCGTAAGTTAAATATGTCATCGTATTTAACGTGGCTTTCTGCCTACTCTTTTTTTTTCTCTCATACCGACCATCCACTACCAACCTTAGACGTTATCAAAACTATCAATCACATTCCACCTTCATAAATCTCATCCTAATTTCTTCTTAATATTGATAATGAAAATTCTTTTGTTTGTTACGGCTAAAATAAAGTTGTTAAATTTAATGATCGATTTATTTTTGATTGGTTACACTTCTGTGTTACAAGTTAAAGTTATGACTCTTCGATGGATTTATGTTACATTGGATAGTATGAATGAGAATTGATAATGTTAATATCGAAGGAGAATCGAGAAATCTGATCCGGACAAATTTTGGAATATTCTGATTTTTGTAAAACAAAATATCTTGATATTAACTATTTATTTTGAAAAGACAACACCATTTTGGCAATTTTCCAATGGAGGTATCAAGGTAGTGCTTTACTATAGCAAGATCGTTACTATGTTTGGTACATTGAATGATTTTCGTCACTCTTTACTATAACAAGATCATTACCAATAGCGTTTTATTCTTGCACGCATACTTATTGTATTGTTAAATTTACATTGAATGATTTTCGTCACTCTTTACTATAACAAGATCATTACCAATAGCGTTTTTATTCTTGCACGCATACTTGTTGTATTGTTAAATTTTATCAATTAATCGAATCTTTTTATAAGAAAAAATCTAATGAATATTATACAAAATCATTCTTTTTTACCATATATAAACGCAATATATTCCTCCAACAACATATTCCCATAGATCGCCATCAACACATCTAAAATTCATTAAATAATGATAAATATGGAAATTTCATTGAGACATTGTATTGCAGTACAGAACAGAACAGAACATAATAGTTTTTGCCGTCAAATACGTGTAATTGACAAAAGCCAAATACAACAACTATTTCTTGATCTAAATCAATCCAAAACTGTGTAATTGTTTTAAAAAATAATAAAAACTACTTTTACAAAACAAGTGGATATTTTACATTAAGCATGTTAAATTTCGTTCAAATTATTAAAATAAATTAGTATCAAACTCGATAATAATAAGTGTCGAACTTAATACACCGTTTATACGTAAATAAGTACTATTAAACGAGTGATTGACGGTTAAATATCGTAAGAAAAAAGAAGTGTAGGAAGTTTCCTGCAACTGCACAACGCAACAAGTATTTAATCCGACAGGGAAAGAATGACAGAGTATGGGAGAGGAGAACTGGAAACTTTTTGTGGGCAAAGTCATGAGACTTATGGCAGTGTAGGCCCCACTGCCAATTTCCTCATTGATCTCTTTCTCTTAACTTCCCCTTCACTCTCTCTCTCTCTAAGAAATTTCCCTCTCTCTCTCTTCCCTTTTCAACACTTATAAAAGCAGCAACTTCTTCTTCAAATCCCTCCCTCATGGCCACCACCATCTTATGCGCATCTCATTCCCATTCCATTCACTTCTCTTAGCCTTCATTCACACACTCTGTTTCCCCTTTTTCCCTCTTCTTTATAATAGCCCCGAAGGCCGAGGCGAAACGATAGCAGTTTTATTATAACAACTCGACCGAATTGTCCAATCATTCATGGACTCTGTCGGCAAGAAGTCAATGAAGAACCAAAACCAGAGAGCGGGTTTGATTCAGCGGCTGAGATGCTCCGTTCAAAACTACGATTGGGGGAAGAGGGGTCATGATTCCCAAGTGGCCAGGCTCTCTGCTTTCAACTCTGATTCTGGGATTAACCCAGAAAAATCATATGCTGAATTTTGGATGGGAACCCATGAGTCCGGACCTTCTTTTTTGATTCGGAATTCGGATGAGAATAATGGGTTTTTCCCAATTGGGTCCGAGATTACATCTCTCAAAGATTGGGTTTCCAAAAACCCAAATGTGCTTGGTGAGAAGGTGATCCAAAAATGGGGCTCTGACCTCCCTTTTCTGTTCAAGGTACTCCATTTTTATCCCTTAATTTTTTTTTTTTAAATTTAAATTTTTTTTTTTTTGGGATTGCGTTTGTTCCAAAAATTGGGGGTGTGGACTCTGGTGTGGAGTTTTCTTTGTTTGGTGTTTGTGTGTTTATTGTGGTTTTCAGGTGCTTTCTGTGGGAAAGGCATTGTCAATACAGGCACACCCAGATAAGGATTTGGCCAAGATTTTGCACAAGTTGATGCCAAATGTTTACAAGGATGCTAATCACAAGCCTGAGATGGCCCTTGCTACTACACACTTTGAGGCTCTTTGTGGTTTTATCAATCTTAAGGTAATGATTTTCATGTTTTTTTTATTAATTTCAGGTTTGATTCGTGTTTATTTAATTTCGAAAATGACAAGAATCTGAAGATAGCTTTTAACTAACAAACTCTAACATATAATTGACTGTATATTCCAGTCTTATAATCTCTCTAAACACAAGCTGTCTTATTTGTTTGAGCATGAGCGAATGATGAGAGATACTAATAAGGGATATATCTGGGATACATAATTTCCCAAAACATTGGGTCGGCTTGACTCGTTTGGTCGCTGAGTCTTTTCATGACAATCATTAACACTTTTGAGTTTTGAATGTTTGCGTGCCTCCTTTTGTTGGGTTTATTTTGATATTAAACAAAAGAAATGTTATGAAGGTTAATTTTTAAATCGTATTTTGTAATTCATATAATGGGACGGTTGATTATTAAGCTCTTTTTTCAATAATTTAAAAAAAAAAAAAAGTTAAACCATCAACTATCACATTACGTGATTTACAAAAATAATTTAAAATTTTAATCTCGCTGGCATTGTCGTTAAACAAAACGAGTAGTAATCTTGTATGGGGTCCATTGAATAATTGGCCATTTACCTGGTCAAAATTAGAATTATTGAGGACTATAAGGGCAGAGAGTGATATTGTTCCAAATGAGTTGAAAAATTACCTTTTCTCATTCCAACTGTTTAGGAATCAAACCATTTTCGCCTTAATTGGTAAAAACAATTAACAATATTAGAATCACACTCTTTAATATACAATAAAACTTCTTTAAATCAATAATTTGAGGACTAAAAAATTTATTATTTGAAAGAAGTTATTATTATATTGATAAATAAATAATTTATTAACTTATCGATAAATGAATAATTATTAATTTATAAAGAATTTTATTTTTCTTTTTAGATGCATATTTTGAAGAGGAGCTGGACTAAGAAAATAGAAGTTTTTAAGTAAACGATTTCTAAGTATATATTATGAGTATTATTTTATATATTCCCTGGACATTAAAGAATTTTAAGAGAAATTATTATCTTATGTATTTAGCTAGAGTATTATCTTAATACACTAATTTGTTTTTGAAGTAGAAGGAGAGAGAAGAGGGTGATAGATGGGGAGAGGCTTTACTTTTTATTTTTTTATTTTTTTAAGTTTTAAATTAGAGATATGTTAGAATTACATGTAGATCAGACTTTATTAAAAAAAAAAAAGGCAAAATTTTGGTTGTATGAAATTACATTTATACCCGTATTTCTTGTTCATGTTTCATTTTAATTAAATGGTTAAATTGGTAATTTCATATAATTTTGGTTGACAATGAATGTTTTATTACCACGTAGTTTAGATTCGAGTTGGGATCAAAAGATTTTATTATTTAATTGAGGTTATTATTTTATTGAACATTCATTTATCGAGGTTTTACTGTAAAGGAGCCCGTACTATTATATGTGGACATTATCTATATTAAAGAATATGTCAGCAAATCTAAATAGTCATATTACTAGATATTTGTACACACAAGCGACAAAATTGATACATTTACTGACACACTTTCCGACGCTCGTCAAATAAATTAAACCTTCAAATCATAATGCAACTAAAAATTCCACTGCCATAATATTGGATTCCATCATAGTGGACGTTTTAACTGCTATTTCTTTAATTAAACTTAGATTATATTTAATAATTGAGGTCAAGAGCAGGTGTAGTGTTACTTTCTTCTGCCTTTCAGAATTTCCCGCCAGGATACCTTTTTCTTCCCATTTGTTTATCCTCTAAAGGAATATTGCCTTCTCTGCTGGGATCTCTGTGGCAATACCAACTAATTATAATTAATTATAATTACTTATAATTTACAGGTTTAATTACAATTTTCGTTTTTTGTTTCCAGGAACTCAAAGTTGTGCTTGATAATGTCCCTGAGATTGAAGAACTGGTTGGCAGTGAAGAAGCAAAAAAAGTATCCGGAATCACTGATCTAGACGAGGAGGAGAAAGTAAAGTCTGCTCTGCGTTCACTTTTCACCCACCTCATGTTAGCTAGCAAAGAGATGATAACCACAGTAGTTACGAAAATGAAAGATCGTTTACATGTCGAAAGTCAGGTTGGTCGATGTGTTTTTCTTCAATGTAACTGTCAAATTATGTTTTTAAGGGCAAGTTCTTCTGTAACTGTTTTTGCTTTTTTGGCAGGCGAGGCTTTTGACAGAGAAGGAACAGCTGGTGTTGCAGTTGGTCAAGCAATATCCAACTGATGTGGGTGTTATATCTGCCTTCTTCTTGAACCATGTGAAGCTTAATCCCGGCGAAGCGCTGTACATTGGAGCTAATGAACCTCACGCTTACATATTTGGCGAGTGCGTTGAGTGCATGGCAACCTCGGACAATGTAGTGAGGGCTGGCCTTACTCCGAAGCATATGGATGTTCAAACGCTTTGTTCAATGCTGTCATACAAGCAGGTAAAATACAGCATCCTCGCCGTGGAATTCACTCTTAATGTCTACTTGCTCGGTGCGAAGTTTCCTTGCATTTTGCATATATGTCCGAAATTTGATATATTTTCTTTTGCAGGGGTATCCTGACATCCTGCAAGGAGTTGCAATAGGTCCTTATGTGACAAGGTACCTCCCACCTTTCGATGAATTTGAGGTTGATCGCTGTCAACTTCCGCAGGGAGAATCAGCAGAGTTCCCTGCAGTCCCGGGGCCTTCGATTTTTGTGGTCACGTTCGGGGAGGGAATCATGTATGCAAGCAATGTTCAAGGTGATGTAATTACAGAAGGAGACGTTCTTTTCGCACCAGCAAACACTCGGATTCGCATAACATGGCGCATCCGAGTTGCAGATATACCGAGCGGGTGTGAGCAGCATGTTCTTCCAAGCCTCGTGAATTTCGTTACACAGCTGCACACCTTAGCTTTAGTGCAAAGCACATAATTTATGAATTTTGTATTTTTTGATTTTTTTTACAATAAGCGTATGTAATAAATGTAGTAATAATATTAGCACTGTCATGAGAATGCCTGTGCTGGTGTGCAATGAAATGTAGTAAGAAGTATACGGAATAAAAAATGCATCAATTTGAGTCCTTTTTTTATTTATAAAAAGATCCATTTAAATCGTTTGTGACACAATAGACCAGCCACTAAATAAGTATCAAACTCAGCATAAAATTTAATAGTCTTCGTCATCTATGTGAGTCAAAGCTAAGAACTTTAACTTACAAGTGAAAATAGATACCCTTCAACTGTAGTTATTAGTTGGTTAAAGAGAGAACTATTGAAATCAATATTTTTGTCGGTGAAGGTGTCAATAGCTTTGATGGCTATTAGACCCACAATAATTTATAAACGGGCTAAAAAGAAGAAAGTATACGGCCCAACGCTTTGATCTGGTGGGATCATATTGTTTCTCTACATCCCTATTTAATCGTGCATGTTGTTTCTGTTTTGATTTATCCTATTTGATGCCCGAAATAAAGAGGAATGTGTTAAGAATGTGAATGAGTAAATTCTGGTGGAAAAATGGAGCCTTTACTATTGCTTATGTGGGAAGCACTTTTGCGTTTGCTACAAATATCCAAATAATTTCTAGAAACAGTTCCATGTGCTTCCGGAAGAAATGTGTAGAAGGTGTTTCATAAGAAAGCACTTCTACAAACCATAAGCACTTTCACATAAGTTTGCCAGAGCACTTCCATAAACATTCCAACACCATGTCGTGGGCAACCCCTTCAACACCGATAGGAGGGTAAAACCTGCCTGTCACGTTCAGACCATCACCATCCTGGTACATTAGACAAAAAAAAAAAAAAAAAGAGCAGTTTTGAATTCTTGGGTGAATAAAGAACATCTGCTTTTATCCTTGTTCAACTGAAAAATCATGTCTGCATTGTTTTGAATTCCATGCATCTCCTTGAAAGAGATCCAAAGATGTCATGCAAAATAAAAAAGACAAAATTCTCAAGACCTTGGATTGCTGATCCTGGCTGGCAACAGGCAAAGCATTCCTCATACTTTGGATCTTCGCCATCAGATTGAATTGAAAAACAGCAGACGATCCCACTCTGATACCATACGGAACTTACACGAGGTTCGACAATTGGCATATGTCCTCAGTGGTGCTGGAAACTCTTACTGGTCACTAGAACATCAGTACAATACAACAAACCACATCCATCTACCGAGGAGCATGACATTACAGAGAGAACAATCAACAAAGGCTTCCTCCGACATCTATTTATCGAGGTGCAAGAAAGAAGATGAAGAGGTGCCAGAACTAAATTGCTACAATTAGTGCTCTTGGCTCAATACAATGGTAACAACTAACAACAATCATTAAATAACTTAATCATTCCAATAAGATCAGTGATTTAAAGGAATCTATAAAATTAAGCGACTTCATTCAAGTGAAAGTTGTTTTTTTTTTTTTTTTTTTTTCAACTTCCCTAAATTCTTAGATTGTTTCAGCATAGTTTAGTTGTCAATGTATACTGTGACTGCTTAAGCTTCCACCACTTTTAGTAAGTGCTTTGGTAACGACATGAGTCAGTATTCCAATGGGGCAGAAAAACAGGCAAAGAGAAACTGAATGTCGAGTCTCTATTTGGTTTTGCAGACCATCGCTGAAAACCTGCCTGGATCAATGAACATAAAGTGTTAGAACTGTCTTAGCATGCATGCTCGTGTGTGTGTGAGAGAGAGAGAGAGAGAGAGAGAGAGAGAAAGAGAGAGAGAGAGACCTTGCAGCAAAGAGATCAACAACCAACAAGTGAATCCAGGCAGAAGCTAATGTTATCTCATTGGTGAACATCTTTGCTATACCAGTCAGCTGCACATAGTACATAGGTAGGGGGAAAAACTTGTATAAAATTTCGTAACATATGAGAAAGGATTGTTTAACTTGTATATTGCTAATAACTGTACACACCTCAGGCAGCCAGTATTTACTTCCAAAAATCAACCGAAGCGTTTCAGGAGTCCAAGAGAGGTATAGTAGATAGGCATAAAGAACTCCAAGCAGAACATATGGTATACTACTCTCTGTAAATACTTTTGTCTGCATTTTTTACTTGACTTCAAAGAATTAGGTCCATCAATTTAGGTTGGGCAAATCATGCAAGATTATACTGATATAAAAAATAATAACGATAAGAAGCATTTACGGCATGAAAGCATACATACCAAGAACATACCAGTTGAGCTTTAGGTGCCAGAACCATGAGGGCATAAAATGGGAGAACTGCAGTCGTTGCCAAAGTAAAAACTCTACTAGCAATTTGAGAACTTGCCAACCCTGAGCACAAAAAAGAAAAATACACCAACCTTATTGTTATCGATGGTATTTGAAGCTAAGACGACCCCCAGCCCTCCCATCCTCATTATCACTCATACAATTATGAGATGTAAACAGATAATAAACGAATCATGAACAAGTAATGGCAATAAACCATTCCTTTTAGAGGGAAGAAATAAGATGATTTTGCACTTCGTAAAACTATCAGTCTGTCAAACTTGTGCATCATTATGACACGGCTACTGGTAACCATTTTATAGGAAGGAATTCCAGTAATGAGTACTTCAACATCGTATGAATGATATTCGTGGGCTTTTATTTTCATACGGTCAAATATCCTAACTTTTGCACTTAACAACACATAGCAAGTTTCAAATCAACCACGCAACACTGCAAATGATATCAATTATAAACGAAAAGCATTAAAAGTAGCAGAAAGGATTACATGACATGTATACTCCAGAGCATTTTCGATGTGGAATAGATCTCTCAAGTTTTGGTCTTATAGTAACTGTTGAACCTCCGACAAAACTCCAGTCCTTGTGCATGTGAGATTCCACTGTCACAAGTTGTTGACCTAAGACTTCAGTGTTATAACCTCTCAGCGTAAATGTGAAGCTTTGTGCACTTCTATCGTTGCTCCAATGTCTTATAGTCTTCTTGCCATAGTCAACCTATGAGTAATGAAACTTTAGTTGTAAGAGAAGATTCCCAACTGAGAACAATATATCGCAATACACGTTAATGCTTATGCCAAAACTTAACATTCATGCCTTCATGCCCTCTTTGAGATCTAAATTAATGCTCATACCAAAGGAAAGCTTTACACGAGCATCAAACAAGTTCGCATTATTGCCATAATATATGGGAATGGGATCGATTCTAAGAGTTGGTGAAATGTGTCTTTCCAGATTTTTAACAATATTGCTGCCACAGTAATCATAACGACAATTTGACAACAAAACTACAAGTAAAATGCAATGAACTTTTCAATTCGAAAAGAAGAACAATTATGTATTTTCATGGCCAAGAAAAACAACGTTAGGGTATACAAATTGTAAATCCAAGTAAACTACTCTAGCAAACACCCATTTTGACACCCAGAGAAATGCTTTAACCAGAAGAAGAAATCAACAACGCTCGCGTATGTTGGACAAAATATAACTAATTTCAAACTGCTCCAGATACCCTTCTCCTTCCTTTTAAGATCCTCAATAAAAAATGAAAAACTGCAAGGGAACTGGGTATTATATACTTAATCATTCCCAGAGAAACGTTTTGAACGAGAGAAAAAATGGTGGGAAGAGAAAATGAAGCTAGCAAAACTTAGAAGAAATACCTTGAAGGAGAATGAAGAATGGCAAAAGCAAGAAGAGAAGGCCATCTCTGTTGTGAGACCAGAAACCCTGTAAACAAGTAATAACGGCTGCTCCATAATATGTTTTTACAGTACTGAAATTAGGAATTGGGAAAAAAATGAAGATAAGGAAAGAACTCCAATAATGCAAAAACTACAGTTTCACTGGCAGACAGCAGTACCGACACCGAGCTTAGAGAGAGAGAGAGAGAGAGAGAGAGAGGGGAAGGTTTAGGGTCGAGAGACTTGCCTCATCTGTGACGTATTTGTAGAGCCTAAAATAATCCTAAAAATTCTAAAGGCGGAACGTAGAACTTTTATTCAAGAAGAACAAGATTGTCCCTCAATAAATAGGCAGGCTTCTCAGATGCACCCATGCACAGCTCACATCCCTGAAAGATTCAGTAGCTGAACACAACTGCCCACAGTTCACCTGCCCTTGGCAAGGAATTAAAGATAAGATTAATTATCCAAATCTTATTTTTAATACATTCCTAATTGAAGATTGACTCTAATCAAGTAAGTAATCCTAATTTAATTCAATTAAGGATTATTACCATATTATCTCCTATTAAATATTTTGAGAATATTTAGAGAATATTTTCCATTAAACCCTATATGGCCGGCCCTAGCCCTATAAATACCCCATATTCTACCAAATTGAAGGGGCTTTTGCAATCCTAAAAAGCCTTAAACACTTTACTCACTCAGAGAAACTAACTTAGGCATTGGAGATTCGTTGACCTAACCCCCCACCTCGTGGGTGCGTCAGGCTTAGGTATTTGATCAAAGGTGTTGATTGTTTTGTAGATGCATTTTCGTCAAGACTAAAGACGGCTGAAATTTGCATCCACAAATTGGTGCTTTCATTGAGAGCTGATTCAAAATACTCGAAGAAGCCTCTTGCATTAGTTTCTTGAATTTTCTATTACGTTGAATTTCTCACATGTTGTATTAATTAATTTTTTCTAGAAAAGTTTCTTGATTAATCCCTGGAGAAAGGATACAAAGGTAGGAAATTCAAAAACTACAATGAATGGAACCCCATACGTGGAAGGATTTGGACCGAAGAGTGGAGACGAGGACATGGCCCCACGATGAAGAACCTTAAGGCTTAATGTGATGGCAGGAGGAGCCCTACCGCCACGGAGCACCACCTTTGCCGTGACCCAGCAGCCACGGCAAGGCCACCAGGCCACGACACCATTCCCACCAAACCCTAGGCAAGAGGCCCATGTCCATTTCCAAGCCCTTGGGCAGGAGGCCCCAAGCTTGGCAGCTGCCACAGCAAGCACTGGGTAGGAGGGCCAGCCTAATGCAACAGTAGGCCTTGTTGCACAGTATGCCTGAATCCAAGCCCAGAATTCAGCAGCTGCTACTAGCCAAGCAACCCAATGGCCAAGAGGGCCTACGACTATATAGATCCAAGGCGAGCAGGTGCCTGTCCAACTTATTCCGCGACCCGCTTCGACGACCCGACCTGTGGCCCAACCCATTCTGAGGCCACCTCTAGCGGTCCAGATTCCAACCACAGATCCTACGATAGACTCAGGGTTACTGACGCCCCACTTTTCTGCAGGACTGCCCGCTCTGGGCTCAAGCTTTGTACCTGCAGTTCATTATACTTCCACCACGCATGGAGACACCTATCATCCAGACTCTTTCAATCTAAATGGTGAGCATTACTTGCCTCAGCAGGTCGCCAATTTGACGAACGCCCTTGTGCAGCAGACCACCTTTGTGAACCAACTCCTCAAGCGCATCGAGATGCAGCGTGCCCTAGATGAGGTGTCCCGAAGCAGGACAAAGGCGGAAGAACATGACTCATTCCAACGACGTCCTGGCAAAGAGTTGTTCAGCCCGCCACGAACTGAGCATTTGGGTAGTACTCTCGTTTGGGCCCTCTAGGAAATGTTTTCTCCCGCCTAGATGCGTAGAGAAGCGTTCATTTGGCTCACGAGTCAATGTGCATTCGAGGTTGGGTCTATACTTCGAAGAACACTCAAGACCTTTCGGAAGAAGCGTCTACACAAGGCTAGGCCCATAAAGAGATTCTTCTACGAGGCAACGGAGTAGGCAGTCGCATGACGCACAGAGAAGAGCACGTGAGTAGCCCAGCTCAAGTTCCACTGGCAGTCACCGCCAGGCGCAACAGCGAGCAGCATAATTAGAACCACGTACACCGTGACCGTGGTATAGACGAGCAGGACATGCTGAAGAGCAACATGGACTAGCAGGTTAGCATCGGGGGTAGCTGAAGGCTCCGCTACCCCACCAGCGCATTGACACTACTGACGTTGCCCTCCATAGAATGTGGCCAACCTAAGCAGGTTACCATTTACAAATGAGATCAAGTGGATGGAGCCATCGTGGAAGTTCAACCCACCACATTTCATCTGGTTTAGGGGAGATAAAGATTTGGACAAGCACTTGATGCATTACCGAAGTGCCATGACCTTCTACACCAACAATGATGATCTCATGTGCAAGATCTTTGCCATAACGCTACAAGGCAAGGCACAAGACTGGTTCCACACCCTGTCGCCACATTTAATCCGGAACTTCGATGAACTTTCCCTGGTTTTCACTAAGGAATAATCGTCTTACCGCTCGATCAAGAAGAGGTTTGACCACCTTTTTAGCATGAAAAAGGATCCGAAAGAGTCACTCTGCACTTATGTCAAGAGATTCAAGGCGAAAAAGGCAAAGATCTTCTGATGCAATGATAGCATTGTATGTTTAACTTTCCGAAAATGACTCCCAGCAGATTACCCACTTTTCGAAGAATTGATTATGGGTGAGAACCCGTCCCTGACAAACTCTTATGCTTTGGCACAAAAGCACTCCCTTTGGGATGAAGAAAAGTGCTCCTATAAGCCGCTTGAGAAGCTGCGCAAAGACGCGAAATCGACTCAAAAGAAAGTAAGCAATAAATTTCTTGATAACAAAAGCAAGCCGGGTGACAAACGCAGGGACCAGACCTCAGCTAAGGGGGGCGCAACACCCAAGACATACACCAGGTTCTCAGTCCCAATCAGCAAGATCCTTCGCGACCTCAAGGATAAGCCATGGTTCAAGACGTCCCCACCATCTTTAAAAGGTGACACCTCTAAGATGAACCAGACCAAATACTGCGCATTCCACAAAGGTCTTGGGCACACAACCAATGATTGCACCACATGGAGGAAGTACCTTGAACAACTCGTGAAGGAAGGTAAGTGCGACCAATATGTCGATAGACCAGCTGCCCGGCCAAGGCGAGAAGCAGATGCTGATGCCGAACCCCCACCAAGACAATCCAAATCAACAGAACATTTGCCAAATCCGAGCATCTAGGGGCCACCAATAACTTCAAGAAGAAGAAGATCCAGCAGGCGAGATTGGTCAATCAAGTTCAAGCCATAGATATTATACCTTGACCAATCGTCGGCTTCACCGAGCAAGACGCTGACGGAGTAGACTTTGCCCATAACGACGTCCTGGTAATTTTTGTACAATTGGCCCATGCCATCATTGACAGAGTCATGATGGACAATGGTAACTCAGTCAACTTCCTACAACTGTCAGTCATCTAGAAGATGGGCCTGGAAAGCACGATCCAACGCAAAGAAGAAGTCTTGACTGGATTCAACGGACTCACCTCAACTGCCATTGGCACTATCACACTAGATTTAACCAGCCCACCAATTGTTTCATTACAGACCTTCATGATCGTCAGTGACCTATCTCCCCATAATGGGATATTGGGTCGACCATGGCTAGTGAAGATTGGAGCTGTAACCTTGATCAAGTATTAGAAAATTTGATTTCGCATCCCGGGAGGAACCGTTGGAGAAATCAAAAGTGACTAGGCTATGTTTAGGCGATGCACTGTACAAGTTCTCAAGGAGTCGAAGAAGAAGTCTTTCACCCCTGCAGTAGCAGCTGAAGTGCAGAAAGACGACTCAATTTCTGCCAAATAGCAATTACAGCAGGTAGGTCATGAAGATGGCATCAAAGTCGACAATGCACTGGAAGATGAATCAGGATGGAAACCCGAAGACGACGCTGATGACTTCATTCCTGACCCCTACTAACCGGAAAAGGCGCTAGAATCGGCTCACGTCAGAGCTCAGCAGAGAAGGAAAAACTTATGGCTTTCCTTAGGGAAATCGCGATGTTTTTGCATGGTCACCCTTTGACATGCCCGACATTGATCCAGCGATAGCTTGTCACAAGCTACACATCGATCCTGCTGCCAAACCTGTGATCCAAAAAAGGCTACAGTTCGTACTCGATCGAGTAGCGATTATTGAGGCGGAGATTAACAAGTTACTAGAGGCTGGATTTATTGAGGAAGAGGCACACTCAGCATGGCTGGCTAATGTCGTACTAGTAATGAAAAAAAAAAGGGCAAATGGAGAGTATGCGTGGATTACATCAACCTCAACAAGGCATACCTTAAAGACAACTATTCGGTTTCCCGAATTGACCTGCTCGTTAACTTAACATCTAAGAACCAGTTGCTCAGCTTCTTGGATGCATACTCAGGCTACAACTAGATTGCCATGCACAAGCCTGATAAAGAAAGGATCGCATTTATGATCGAGTGAGGCACATACTACTATAAGGTTATGCCTTTTGGCCTTAAGAACGTAGGAGCAACCTACTAGCGACTCATAAACACAATGTTTAAGAAGCAGATCAGAGTCACCATGGAAGTCTACGTTGACGACATCATGGTGAAGGGCAAGCAGCGGTCAGACCACATTCGCAACTTGGTAGAAACTTTTGCTATTCTCCAAGAATACAACATGAAGCTCAACCCAGCTAAGTGCACATTTGGTGCCTCTTTAGGCCAATTTTTAGGGTATCTTGTAAACCCAACGAGGAATCGAGGCTCATCCAAGGCAGATCAAAGTGATCCTGGACATGAAATCGCTCACAACTCTGAAGGAGATCCAAGGTTTGATCGGACGAGCGGCCAGTACTCAATCGCTTCCTTTCGCAATCTACCGACCGATCTAAGCCTTTTTTTTCATCGCCCGACGGGAAGGCTCTAAAAAGATGGCTCCCATCTGGGAAGGTTCCTACAAAATCAGCCGAGTAGGTGGAATGGGCAGCTACACCCTTACCACTTATGAAGGACAAAGAAATCGA